GGCTCTGGAGGGCCCGGTCTCGGCGTCGGGCGGACCACAGACAGGCAAATGTTATGATGAGTATGGTTTGGGCCAATATGAACGTCAACACAATCAAACTGATCCCGAACATATTCTTGCACGAGTTGATTTCCACTACTTTCTCATCTGAATAACAAAAGCAAAGGAAATTAATTTCAATACAATTCACGCGAGAAGTGTTGGCAAACCTTTGGATGCGTTCATGAAGGAGACGTTGTCTTCATTGCCAACATTCTTGCGTTGACTCCTCTGAAACCCTAACTTATCGCTGACGGCCAGCGACTGGACGACCAGTACTTCGTCGGCCTCTCTCTTCCTTCGCCTCCGTTTGCCATAAGAGTGGACTTCACTCGTGCGACCGTCCGCTCCGTTCACATTACACTTGATGGGCTCACATGAGGGCAGACACGGGGCTACCAGTGCCTTAAACTGGACCACATCTGATGTGGGAAACTTGAACGCATCGAACCGGGCCTCCAGTATCTGTCCGTCGCCGTCAGACTTATCCATTGCACCCATTATTAGTGAGTCTTACACGGGGCTACCAGTGCCTTAAACTGGACCACATCTGATGTGGGAAACTTGAACGCATCGAACCGGGCCTCCAGTATCTGTCCGTCGCCGTCAGACTTATCCATTGCACCCATTATTAGTGAGTCTGTCGGACAGCCCATGCTATCGATGAGCACTATTTCGGACAGATCTGCGCCATCGATGGCCACCAGTTCCCTCACAAATATCTCGTACGGACCTAATCAATAAAGTTTATGATAGTATTCGTATTAATTATACATTTAATTAAATTTTCCTAATCTTAAATATTGCATCCAATTATCATAATATAAAATAACCAGATTCTGTTTAAAATATAAATAACATTCACACATAAATATTAGTAAAATAATAAACCAAATATTTGCCTCATTTATCAGAATTAAATATTTTTACTTTTATTCATTTGGACCACCGGTTGGAGCACTAAATTCTAGGTAATATTGGATATCTTATAATTTATATGTAATCTAGAAATATATTTTTAGAAATCTTCACTATATTTTGTTTTTTAAACGGTTTCTTAAATATCTATATACTAGTTAGTTTTATTTTTCATAGTTGTCAACCAAATAACTTTAAGATAAACACAGTTAAAATGAAATCAACAAGACTAATATTATTATTGGCTAACGTTTTAATATTATTTTAGTTATCTAGTAAACTATTATTATATTTAATTTATTGTATATGAACTATAATCTTAATTTAATTCAAATGAATTAGTAATGAATTTATTGGGTACTTGACTTGTTTACTTGGTGTTGAATTGAATTTTTATGACTTCATTAATGATATAAAAGCAGAAATATTGGCTTTTAGTGCAAAATGTTTATCAAAATAACTTTAAAACTTTTAAAAAGTCTATATTATACTCTTAAATGCAATGTAAATATAATTTGTTTGTACCGTAACTAACAGTTCACATAAAAAGAGAAATGTGAAAGAATTTGAGATTAAATTTTTTGGGTATAAAAACTTTAAATTTGATGTCATTTTATGATATATTGGATGCGATTCGTGAGAAAAGACGTCAAAAACTCACTCGACGTTTCCAGTATTGAAAACCTCAACAAAAGTGAATCTCCGACTTGTGCTGAAGAGATATCACTTCTGAATAGATCCGTGATTTTCATCGTAACGTTCGGCGAACTCACTGTTTCTGAATGACTGCCAGTCGTGTCGACGTCTCTGTTGACATTGAGATAGAAATAAAGCAAATGTTAATTTTAGGCACAAAATAGTCAAAAATTATGATTAGATCTGTAAAGACCTAATCTAACAGAGATTATCGTAGAAATGTCAGACAAAATAGACTAATTTGAATGAAGGCGTGGAATAAAAGTTTAGTTAAGATCTCGTCTCAATAGCCAAAATGAAATGCTATCCTATAGTGCGAAGGGAAGGCATATAAAAGTTGAAGCATTCAAATGAATTGGATTCTCATAAAGTGGTGAATCAAAGGAGATGTTGAGGTCATCGATGGAAAAACGAGAACTAATTTTAATTTCCTTAAAGTAATTAAAAAGCGATGAATGACTTGAGAAATAATAGGAAATTATAAAAGCATTCAATTTGATAAAAGTCATTCATAAAAACAAATGTTCATGTATTGTTTTGTGTGAGAATTGTTCACAACATTAAACCATTTTGGAGTGAATTTAAAATTTTAATCAGCATTTTGACGTCTATTTTGTTTAATAATGAGCGCATTATTAGAGAAAATAGGATTATTTTGCGAAAATACTGATGCAAATGAGTTTCCGATTTAATAATATAGCTGTGAATCACAATTAATAAATGAATCAATTATAGTGTAGCAAAAGTCCATTGATTTAATTATGTGTAAGAGTGTGAGTGAATCACATTCAAAGTAAATTAGTCTTAGTTTTAATTGATTCGCTAATAAGTGGAAGAAGTCTCTCACGTTATCATAATTAAGATATATTTCTGTCAAATATTTGAAATACTCTTGGTTATTTGATATTTTATCTGATTTTATTATGTTGCTTGTGTCTTATGTTAAGCCCAAAGTATATGCAAATATGAGATTTTTAATTACAATCATATCCCATACCCAAACATGGCTAATTTAAAAATAATTTCATATAAATTACATAATTATTTGTATTATTAAATAATTAGAAAAAAGACAACAAATGAAAAGATAGGGAAACAGAAAAGAAATATTTGATTTCGAGATAATGAAAGTCGAATTAAAAAACAAGTTTTGCTTCACTCGGACTCACCCGTCGACCGCGAGATTCACATTATTTGAGATACTTTTGTTTGAGAGATCGTATTTGCAGTGAACGTTCAACAGTAGGTCCTGAGTGGTCACAATCATGTCGTGATGTTGTATAACAATATCATTAGTGAACTGTCCTTTGCTCTGCTGTTTAACATCACACTCAACGTCGTTATACTTCATCTTAATCTCAAACTCCAGACTATTGCTGATGTCATTAACACAGATGTTTGGCTTGGATTTGGCATAAATTTTTCCGTCAAATACTTTTGTTGTCCGAACTTTTGCTACCATTTCTCGTGCGCGACAAAGAATTGTCACTAAAATCACAATCAAATAAAGAAAAAAAGTTTTACACATTTAATAGAAAAAAATGAGACAAATGAGACAAACCATTATAACATGAGACGAGTTCATGAGTGGTGGCACCGCTTATCTCGATGTATGGGTTCTCGATGTGAGACAAAGAATTCTTATCCAAATGACTCGTCCGACAGACACTATTAGATGGGTCTCCGAAATCAAATGAATGGCACCGATAGGGACTGTTCAGACACTTCTCTTTGCACTCCTCTATAGTCTTCACATTTTCATAGACCGAGTCAACAGTTTTCAAGATTTTGCCACTAATTGGTCTAAAATCGCATAATTTATTTGGTTCTGTAATTTAATTTTAAAATGATTTTGTGTTTCCCAAGTATTTATATTTTTATTGTTATGCAAACCTTGAATGCAATTGTTTTCCATGTAATCGATGCTACCAGAGGACGGACCATACTTTCGCGACTTAAGGCTATTATAGGTGATGGTATGCCTGTCCATATCGGAAAGGGAGCACTCATTGACATCGGAGTCATAATTAGCTGATCGGCACTCGAAGTCATTCTCGTTGAGACACATTTGCATGCATTCCAAACGTGTCATTACTTTAACACTCTTTTTGCTGTACTTTTTCATCTCAAACCCCTTAACCCTTTCGAAAGCCCAGCCTCTGTTGCAAACTTGCTTTTTGTCTGCAAAAACGGCCAAAAAGTTTTGGTTAATAGAGTTTGTGTTTTCCAAAAAGTTCTCATATGAGATGAATTAATTTTCATAGACTTTAATACCATTACATATAATAAGCACTTAATACACATAATAATTACCCGAAAGGCATATCTTCTGTGCATAAATAGTGTTTTGACCTTTGACACTGACGCTACTCCCCAGCCCGACAAGCGGGCCATCACAACAGTCGTTTTGTGTATTAGGCCAGAGCTTCAACTGCCGAAACGTGCACACCAAGAACTCCGTCTACAGGTATGAGTCCGTCAGGTGTAATATGCCGGCCATAGTAGTGACTGAGTCGGAAGGGTTGGTGAACACCTGACCCGTTAACAACTCAAACGTCACGACACCGTCCGAGCAATCTTGAGATAAATTAAATTTCAATTTCAATCTTCGCTCAAACATATCAACACTGAATATGCATTTCAATATTCTTTGAAAGCCATTCATGTCTTGACATGACTTTCATAAAGAGAGGGGTATTTCGTTATTCAGTGTAATAAACAGCACAATGAGTGCCTAACAGTGCATCTACTGATCCGACAACTATTACTTAACAT